GTGGCTACGTTGCCATTCTGCTGGTGTTTCTGCAGGCACAGCAGGACAGTCCTACACCAGCAAAACTGCGGATGGCAGCTCTGGTGACAGACAGAATGCCTTTAAAGAGAATGGCCAGATGGTGGCACAGCAAACACCCTGTTCTAAAGAGCTCTAGGTGGCACAGCAAACACCCTGTTCTAAAGAGCTCTACGTACATATCAGAAATACCCCTTGTTCCATATACATCTTACAGCACATATAGCGATAGATACACACACTCCTCACGCAGAACAACTCCAAACACGCCAGCAGAGTATTTACTACCAAATCCAGATGGAGTTTGTGATTCTAATGTTGTCCCCATTAATGAGAAAAATGTCACTACACTAAGGCTATTTTTTTTTCCTCCTCCTTCTTATTAAATCCTTCAAGCAGCCAATAACTAGTTTTTACAGATTGAGGAGTCAGATAGAGTTCTGAATCTATTATTTGACTAAAACCCCAGGGGTCAACTTATCACCTGAAAACCATTTTACATGGACAATTTGACTTTCATGTGGAGAGTCAGAACATACCCTAGATGGAAATCTAAAATAAATTATATGGAGTACTGCCTTCTTAGTGCTGAAATTTATCGGTCCCACACTACAATAATTTTAAAAATCGTATCCCTTAAGCTACAGCACAGAGATATTATTAACTGTTTGAACTGAAAGTGCATTTGCGATTGGCTGCTATAAACTCTGTGGACAGAGACTAATTTCTATTGAACCACATGCTTACCTGAAACTGTTTTTCACCATTCCAAGTTGTCTTCCTGAACAACATTCATTTTATCGCCTTCATTCTCAGTATGCACTCTTACTGCAGTTAATCTGCTTCAGAAACGAAGATTGTTTCTACCCTCCTGCTAATATGGCAATCACACCCAGGAGAGAGAGCGCGATCTGCCTGTACTTCTTATCATCCTAATGCAGGCTATTTTCCTCACTACGGAAGCCTCCCATCTCTCACACGTATCCCTGTAATATATCACAAGTCAAGGAGATCCATCTCATCGCCATACCTTTTCCAGCATCAATAAAAGAGGTTTATTTCCTGCACCTACTTACCTCGTATCCAGATCCTGGTGAAGTGGGAAGGTGTGTGGGAGAGGGAGGCTCCCTTGGGCAGAGCCAGGCTCTGCTGGGTGCCTCCCCTTGGGGAGCGCGGAGCCCCATCTGCATCCGAGCTGCTCCCCAGCTAGGCAGGAACTACACTAAAACCATAATGATTATGAAAGTCATCTACAATTGTACTGCACACCGAAATAAATACACAATTTCAGAGAACTTGCGTGGGGAGATGAAAGAACTGGGATAGTAGGGCATGTGTCCGTTTAGATTTCAAGTGCTGAATTTTTGCTTTGGCCACCATCTCAGTTGGTCAGTGGCTGCCTTCCTTCGTCGTAAGTTTTAGAAACATGAACTTATCCTTGATAGAGGAGATAAATTGAGGCAAATATTTGCTCTGCCTCAACTATATCTCACCATTTATTAAAGTCTTTAGACATGATTAGCAGATTTTTTTCCTCTATCTTATTCAAATAACAGCATTTTTCTCACACCTTATTTTACAGTGTTGAAGGTAAGGAAGAACATAGATTTTGCAGTTGGACACTCATATTAATAAACATTCTGAGTATTTATAAAAGCTTGAATTGTTGAGATAAATGTTTTAGAATTTATTCCTAAAATACAATTACATGCAAAAATTCACAATTTCATAGTGGGTAAAACTGATAGAACCTGAATCTAGCTGGAAGTGTGATCAGATATCAACAGGGAACAGCTTAAAAATTAAGTTACACAAGCTGACCTTAATATGTGTGACTACCAGGTTTTCTCTGTAGAAATATGTATTTTTTCAATATTCCTCTCTGAGCTGAAATAATGTCATTTATATGCAAATCAGACTATATTCTGCAGCTGTTTCTTCTCTGCTAAAGCCATAGGAATTATTTGCACTTAATAAAGCCTCATAAATAGGTTCTGCCTCTAAATGGGTGGGAGAGCAGCAAATATATCATAGCCATTTACAGTTACAAGCATCTTTTCATTTTAAAAGTTATATGCATCCTTTAATAGAAAGTTTCACAGTTGCAAAAGAAACAGTTTTATTTATGCAAACAAAACACACTCCCAGTCTCCAGAACAAAATCTGTTTTGCATTCTTCCCCATGCTAAGCTATCTAAAATGTAGAAATTGCCATGTAACATGAACCAAAAAGATTTGCTATATAATTATTACATGTTTGCTTCATGTAGCATATGTTGAATAAGAAATTCCTTGCCAGCATACTCAGGCACTTCATGACATTGGAAATAACAAATAACTGATGACATAATTTTTTTCTCATACGTGTTTAAATGCAGCAGAACAGTTCCACAGGGTGGACCTTATAATCTTGGCTGTACAACAGCAGCCCGAGCTCCTACTGGCCTTTTCCAGACAGACTTTTTCAGTCATACTGAATTTCATCAGTTCAAACTATCAGCACAAAACATGTGCATCATTTTGTTACATAAACCCTCAATACAGTCAATGTTTTGTTAGTCTTCTGGTGAAAATGAATTTCATTCTCACTTAGTCCCTCCTTTTTTATTTCCTTGTTAAGGAAAGGATCTCAAAGAAAAGCAAGCATTCATGCTTCTAGTGTCATGCATATCACATTCAGACTGACATGGTACTGCTCTCCTGCTCCTACATAAAATCAGGAAAGGAGAAGTAAAGAGGTAACAATACCCTATTCTCTTAGAACAGATACCACTGATTCTGTAATAATGATGTTGGAGGTGGCAAAACTATACTGTACAAAATAACTGATTGTAACTATTCTTTTTGGATTCTGTAAAGCTACAGAAACTATTCTGTAAAGGTACAGAAAACAAAACATACACTTAATGGATTAAGCATTACAAGAAGTTTAAGTTTTCAAATACACGAATAAAGTCTACATAGTTAAAAAAGAACCTGAGACATGCTATATAGTCATAATTATGTTGCAATACATTTACAGTATTCTATATGCTATAAACATACCTTATACACCAGCATGCCCACTGACACGTTTAAATGTTATACGTATTTTTCTATTAACATTTCTGGAGTTTTTTGAGTGCATTTTCTTCAGGCAGAGATACAGTTGACCTCAGTTTGCATTCTGAAACCAGTATATGTGATAGGACAAGAACACATATAAGAAAGTAGAAGTTAAATTAAAAGCAGGTATGAGCATGTATTTTATTACAGAGGATCAGATGAATGGTAGAATGGTCTGATGGTAAAATCAGACTTCCTGTCACACTGAATTCTCTTTCACTATTTCTAGTTTCTCTATTATTGGAAACAGTATTGTTATAAAGTAAATTATACAGAATCTTCCCCAGAGAAATGACTAGGACATTCTGCTGTATCCCCACAATTACTTATTCAATTCCACTAATCTAAATTCACTCAATTAGTAACTGCAAAACTAAAACACAGGATGCAATCACAATTTAACAATATTTTTATATATTTTAATCTGTATTTTATCCTTTGGGAGTGGCTTAGTGCAACTGTCTTTTCTCTGTTGAATTACTTAGCATGTTTTAATCAGTATCTGATAGGGAGCTGCATGCAGCAGCCAAGTGGAGTCCTAGGACATCTGAAGGGCACTGGCTCCTGCGTTTAAGCCCCTGACTCACTCCCTGGTGCCTGAATGATACACAGTGTTTTTCCAACAGGTAGTTCATAGCTCCTTGTGGAGAGACAGACCTGTGGTCTTCTGGGAGGGCAGATGGAAATGAGGAAAGATTCTACAAGGCATCTAAAAGGACATCTATATCTAGGCAGTTGAATCTTTCCTTGGTAACTTTTTGTCCAAAAAAAATTACTAGCAGGTGGACACCAAACCAGTGGATGAATATTGAGAGGGATTTTCAGTTGAGTCCATCCAAGGCTGGAATTAGAGTCATATCTGTGCCTGGAGATGATTATGTCTTTCAAAATTTGGTTTTCACATATGCACATAAACCAGGACCAGAAATGCTCGGAAGAGAGCAGGCCACGACACCCTTACCCCTCCTTCTCTTGAAGTCCAGAGACACTGATGAGACCTGCAAGCAGTACACCATTTGGACAGAGCTTTCCTATAGGTGGTTTTCACAGAGAACAGAAGTTTCCAGGCATTATTCCCTTTGACTCGCAGCAAGACAAACACAAAATTTTATTATTGGTACCCTGCATAGGGATAAACCCTGTCTAGGAGTGAGTAGGAGCCATTTTCCCTGAAAGGTAATGCATTGCTGGAATTAGGGAACTTGGCTAGTGTGGCTGAGACTAAGATACATCTTCATCAACTATGTGGCTCATCATTGGCAAATTCACAGATCTGATAACATACTGGAAAGGAATATTTTGTATTTGACAGGTTTTTTTTGGACAAAAGGACACATTTTTCTTTTATTATAGACAATACTATTAAACAATTCTTTAATGCAAAACAGATTTCCTTGATGGGAAAAAATGGACACCAAAGTTGACTCCTGAAGCTATTTAGGAGGTTATCTCCCCCGGTCTGGTCATCTCCAGCACCACTTATATTTGCGCTGTTTTTATTTGGAAGGACACAAGATGATAACTTTGCTCTCTTCTGATTTATCAGAAAGGATATTTGCAAAAATGAAATCAATAATGACAGAGTCAACTCTAAAAAAAGCAGTAGCCCCCATTACTGAAAGCCTCTTTTTCAAAGCATGAGAGGAACTGAGTATCAGAATTGCTGCTGGGAGCCAGTAAATGAGCCCGTCCAAAGGCAGGCCTCAATCTATACTGGAATGTATAAATGTCCATTTTATGACCTCAAGTGTCAGCTAAATGTAACTACAAAATATTGTTTATAACTAATTTATAACTGATTTGCTTACAGTCTGGAAAAAATACATGAAGGCAGTTATACTTTTTTATTAAAAAGTTTTTAATAAAAAGAAATACAGCCTAGGATAACTTACTATTCCATTTACTTGTAAATATAATTATTTTAGATAAAATCAGGATTATGAAAAACCTAGCATTAGAAGAATTGACATAGATAAACTAGAAGATGAAGACGTTTGTGAGGACAGCATTTCATTCGTTCCAGAATAAGCTGGGGCATGTTAGAAACAGCTTATTTTCTCTTTCAGAACTACGCTCCTTTATTTACACATTTCAATATTTTTCGCTGAAAATTATCCCCAAAAAGGTAAAGATTTAAATACTTTTCAAACTAAGATCATATAATTAAAACCTCATGAGACATTCATTTTTATAATATCTACTCTGTGCAGCAAACTACCCCTTAATAATAGTCCTACAACAGAAAACAACTTCTCTTAATGGCATTTGAATGTTTTGCTCTGGAAAAATGACTATATATTTTTTCTCCAGCACTTACAATATATTTCGTGTATCAGAAAATGTCATCAAATATTCCAAGAAAGGGCTTGACATCATTGGTTTCATCATCAGGATGATATCTAATGAAAATTAAGCAAATAAAAAATATATTGTACAACAAGTCCTAAGGAATCAGAAATATTGCATAAAGTACCAACAACAGATGTCAACACAAGCAAAATAATTTTAAGTCTTTTCCTTCTTAAGAAAAATTAATTGCTACTATTACAGTGAGAATTAATTCCTTCAAAATGAATCTGCTATAAGCTATAAGTAAGTGCCTCACCTAAATACCAGAGTTATACAAAGAACTAAGCATCTGAACACTGAGGTAACATTAAAACACACAAATTACTTCGTATTACCTGGAATCCATTTCTTTTTCTGGTTCTCTGGTGCAAATAAAAAAATCCCCTTTCTTAGTGAATTTAGAAGAGTCTGAGATGATTTCTGCGCTCAAAGCACACTCTACGTTTTTGAACTCTTGTGAAGGATTCGAATACTGTTTTTCTTGAAAACTGAACTGCAATGTAAATGTAACAAAGCGTGTATAGTTAAAAGAACTAACTGCAAAAAGAAACCACCAAATTGTTATATTATGCAAACATGATAAATATGAAATAAAATTCTCTAATTTTATTATATGAAAAACTGTTATAGATAGCCTTTACTCACCATATTTATATTTCCACTCTGTATGGACAATTTCCCTTTTGAAGGGCCATTAAACACAGAAACAACTGAATTCTGGGAATTGGTCTCATCTTGTAATGTGCAAGAACTGAAAATATCAAGCAGAATAATATAAGTATTTTTACAGAAGTGCATAGTGTTTTGTTTTCAGTTCAACATTCTCAATTTACATCCATCCACACTAACTAAAAGTTCATTCCAAATCATTTAGCAATTCACATTTTTTAAAGTTGAAATTTCACTCACTTTTACTGGTTAAATTCCAGTTTCTCTGGAAGAGATATATCCTTAAACAAATATCATTAGCATATATATCAACTATAGATATTTCTCTTTAACTGAATGAAATCATGATATATTCCATATAATTCTTACTCTTTTGAAATGTCAGTTGTGACTCTGCTTCTTGTGTACTGGCAAAGTGGTTCACATTCATCTGTAATTTCAAGGTGAACAGTTCCATGTACCATATAAGAATAAAAATTTCAAAAATTCAAGCACAAAGCAGACAACCATTCTTGTATTTTATGTAATTCCATAAATAATAATAAGTTTTATTCAAATATCTTTACACTTTAAATATTTCTTCTGTGGATTTTGGACAATTTTTCATACAGAGATAAGTAGTCATGTAAATTAGGCAGTCACAGGTCATCTGTAAAAAACTGAAATATGCCTTTCTCAATTCTCTATTTTATATTAATTTATCTCCTTATAGGTAAGGTTCAAAGTACAATAATACATCCAATGGTCAAGTCAATTAACCAAAGATATTTAGATAATCCTAATGAACATATACAACAACAAATGCTGTGGAAAAGAGATTGGAAAAAAATTTTAAGTAGGAAAAATTGTTATGTCAAAATAATCTTACCTAAATCTCTACTGGAAATGTTGCTAGCAAGTACTAATTTTTCATCATCAAAATCATCCCAAACATCATTCTCCAATTCAAAGTTAATATTCAAAGTCTCCGAAAACCAAGACTTGCTTTTATCAGCATCAGTCGAGTTATGCATTAAAGATTCTTTAAGGTTGTTTTTTGATGTCATTGTCTCTTGGCTTTTATGACTCTCAGACACGAAACTCTTCGAAGTCAAACCTGCAACACATTTGCGATGCACAAGTAAAGCAAAAAACTGCACTCTATTTTTAAGACCACTTGTTCAAGATATTAAAATGATCACGATGTTTACACTCGTTACTCAGCATTATTTTAAGAAAATGGTTATCTCCATTGTAGAGCCTAGTAAACAAGCCTTCCATCACTGCAATTTCCTTCCTCTGTTTTGTCAGAACCAGTTTGATTCTGTGCTTAATGGTATAATTCAGTCATTTCTACTCTTCATAGTGTTTTTCAAATTGTTCTTAATTCATTGTTCTCCTCACACTATCCAATGGCTAAGAACTAGCCAGGACAAACATATATTCAAATGTTATTGTTAAAATTCCTAATTAAAAAGTGATAATGTTCAGAAATTCTTTTCTTTTTCCTCCTCTGGTGCAAAGACAATTTTCCTGTTTCCTCCCGTACTCTTTCCTTTCATCTGACTATGATCCTTTCATCTGATTATTATTACATATACCACTTTAAAATAAACAACAGGTTTAGGTTACTAAACCCCTCCGCCCCCCCTTTTTTGTTAGATGGGCACTGTCATTTTCTTGAATGTTTGGTGCTCTGTAATGTTATAGTGGCTATTACAGTGATTTCAGCAAGTGTCAGTTTATGAAGAACATGGAATTCCAAACAGTGAAAACTAAATTTCAATAGCAATAACTTACTATTGTTTCCATAATTCCAGGACTGCAGTGGTTTTGGAGACCTTCCTACCACATTAATGTTATCTTCTTGATCTACTGAAGGCCACGAAGATGATGATTTATTGTCAGATCTTCAAAAAAAACCCAAAATATTATTAGTAAAACAGTTAAAGTCACAACAGAAACTAATTTGATTCAGAATAAAGTTTTAATTGTTTAAACTTAGCACACTGTCTAAAATAAGACTTTCTTTTAAAAAAATTATAGTACCTTGGCAATGCTGGCATTGAAGATTTGCGTGTAAAAACAAATTGAGAGAGGTCCACATTCTGGGACTGATTTAGCATCTGCATCTAAAGAAGGCATATTGTAAGTGACAAGACATACACATTGAAAAGTGGTGGGTTTTTTTTGAATGATCTGAAACATCATTAACTTTGCATATTAAAGTAGCATATTTTTAAAGATCATATGTTAACTCTTTCTGCTGTGTAGTTACTTAAGTGGATAAAAGGCTTAAATTACAAGCTTAGAATTATCCAAATACCCTGGCATGGTCAGACTGGTTATCACTAAATTTGTTCTTTCTCTATTAGCTACAGCTACATCATTCTCCCCTGCAAAAAAACAAATCCTGAGAAAGTGAAACACTCCAAAATTTAAAATACCACTCTTGCTGCAGAAAAGACTAGTTTAACATGACACCGCTTTGAAAACTTTCAGCTTAAAAAGTAGAAGAGTTACTTTTTTCCATAAACGAGCAGATCTCAGTATCAATGTAGAAAGTTCTCTCGGTAACATTATTCTCACAGATACCACAATTTGTTTCCATTTCAGATCATGTTTTGCCAAAAGGAGGTTGCAGTATGGTACCTTCCAGCTATGCCTCTGCAGCTCACCCACCACAACTGATCAAACACCATGAAATCAAAACACCGGGTACTTGCAAAGAAGCATATGACAGGAAGCAGCAAGCATTTCAACTAGCAGCTGAACCTTTCACAAATCATCAGGCCTGTAGTTACTTCTGTGCTTCTTAGCTGTTCACATTCCTCACAGAAGGGGCATATTTGCATGTTTATACTTTATAATTTTAGTTATGAAATGCTTTCCAGCAGTAAGTGTATACAAATACATAAAAGTTTCAGATAAAGCAATTCAATGGTTGACTATTCAAATGAACCTTTAATCGTTTTACTGGGAGTACAGATGAAACCGAGTCCCTGCTCCTTAAGTCAGCCAGGTACAAAGAAAACTTTGAATCCCTCTTCATTTCCAACTTTGGAGACACTCCAGTTTTACCTGAATAAAAGAATTAAAAAGACCTTCAGACTATTTTAGGAGGGACAAATCCTAACTCTTTTCTAAACACTAGAAACTTTGTCACTAAACTTAGTACGTTTTACTGAAAGCTGAATATTTAATGCACTCATGCTTCCACAAAAACGTGACAAGCTTGACAATGCTCTTATAAGCTAAGTGTTTTGAAAAATATTATTAATCACTGTAGTCCTTATGAAAGTGTACTAAAATGTTTTATTATTACATTTATGACTGCATCATAGCAACAACTTAAGCTTGACTTGGCTTGCTTGTTAGTGCAGGCATTGGTATCTATGAACTATTCTGAATTACATTTGTCAGAAAGTGACAGGAATAATAGGTTCAATGAAACTCACAGCAGTCATGTCCACACACATCTTTATTTTTACAATGATGGTTGCATTCTCTGTTCCCATATTTCCTGCACGTATTCTCCTGTTTAGATTTGTCTCCTAGATGAACATAATGAAGAAATACTCATTTTAAAATTAATATTTATTGCTGGAAGTACTTCATGCAGTAAAAGAAAGGCTAAAATATCCTGCATGGCAAAGCTTATTCCCTTCAACAGTGTTCCAATATAATTTGCAAGAAATTAGCCAATCTTACCCAAAACCAATGTCATTCCCAGCAAAACCAAACTGAAGTACTATGAGATACCACATACATTTTTCTCTTACCTTCAAAGTGCACTGTACTACTTGCCCAGCTGAAGCATCAACATAATGTTTTTGTACTCAAGAAACAGTAGAAATAAAGACCTAGCTCTCCACTGAAAGAAAAATTCATCTTTTTTATTTCAGTACTAGCTCAATTTTGTCATCTTATCGTTTACCTGTATTCATTTTTGCTGATGGCAGCCTTTGTGGTGAGCCATGACACGTATCAAGCGAAGAATCATCTTTCAATTTTTGATTTATAATAATTTTACTTCCCAGGGTTTTTGGTCCCAAGTAAAATGCTGTAAATGCTTGCTGTATATCAAGGCCAACTTTTAAAAAAGTCAGAAATATTAAATGACTACGAAATGTTTCCAAACTACGTATTACATTCACTTTTGTAATGTGCTTAAGAAACTATATATATTCATATATATACACACACACACACACACTTTAAGTGTGTTTAATATAAAATTATAAGTTAAAATAATTTTTATATATATTTATTTAATGCACCATTAAAGGCAAGCTATTGTACAAATGAGTTCTTTACAACTAAGATTAAAAAACTCAGAGTTTCATAAATTAAAGCTATGGTTTCTACGTGAGTAATTTAGTTAATTACATAGTTTACAGAAGCCCCTTTATTTTTTTTCTGTATTGTTTTAAAACAAAAGTCTCTGGCTTTGAATTGCTGATCTAGTTTTCACTGTAAAATTGTACTATAACCCGTTTTATCCTATTTTAACCTATTTTTAAAGGAATAAATCAAAGATGTTGATAGCACTTTTGAAGTTGAATGCTGATGTTTCTAGTATTAGATAATTAAACTAAGATTTATATTAGAAACACTATATTAGGCAAGTAACATGGCTTGAAAAAGCAGACATGCTTTTAAAAAATGAAAGCATTTCCCTTACATGTGAATCAGAAGCAAACTTAAAACCAAACAGAGGCTAAAAAGTCCTGTTAGGTTATAAATGGCACAATTTGAGAGAAATTAACAGTTACTATTGAGTTTTTCTGGACTCAGGAGACCCTGTAGATAGTTAAGTAGTAGAGAAAGCAAACACTTTTTTCCGCATTAGAAGAAAACACTCCTTTTTTCCCCGAGTCAAAAGTTCAACTGAAATACCACCTATTTCTCCTAGGCCTAATTACTGTAATATTCTTACGATTTATGTACTCGATTTAATCTAGCACACAGCAATTCTCTCTACAGGTAGGGTACGATGACAATTTAATACAGTCAGTCCATTTTCTAGTTATATTGCATGACTGTGTTCCGAAGTCATCACCATCTCTCAGCTGCTGTGGTAGCTTCAGTTCGAGAGTAACTGCCATGGAGGGGACTAAGTCCACACAAGCAAAGACACAAAGCTTGAGGTTTCCTAATATATTAATGTGCTGCTCAGATTTCTATTTAGAATCAGTCAATATTCAGTACAATAAAAGCAATGAAGAGAATTCGTGTTTACTGATCAGTTTTTCATATTTTTGCCTTGATAGAACATTTGAATATTTTTTTTGGAAATCCTTATGGAGTTGTTTCTAAATGTATCAATTACATACCATAATCAGAACTAACTAAGTTTATACTGAAGTCCTCCGATCTAACAGCTCTTTTCACTTCAATTTTCTTAGTCCAATTTCCAGTTTTCAGCAATACAGAATCCCTGTAACATATCAGTAAACTTCTATTACACAAGGTCAATGAACAACAAGATTGTTTAATATGGGACCAGCGGTGTAAAAGTAGTGAGAGCACCTTAACTGAGCTTTGGTTCTTGGATTTTGCTTGGCAAGTGGACTAAGAATAACCTTGTAATAAAACATGACCTGTGACCATAAGAGAGCCAGGACCCTGCAAGTGCAGTTTCAGTTCTGCCAAAAGCACTAGAATCAGCCAATGCTCAGGTGAAGGGATTCTTCCAACATCACCACCCCTTTTCCCATTTGCTCCAAGCATAGGTTATCCATCTTTAATTTAACTCCATATCTGACTTTAAAAGTCTCAACAATACGATACGATTAAATAAATCCAGCTAATAAGTATAAGTAGCAATCTCAGAATGTAAATGTATCATTTTAATAGATTTTTACTTTTTTTTGCATGTACTTGTAAACTGCATTAAGATTTAGCATCAGAGTTGAGTATATATTTACACATATTCACTGTACAGACAAGCAGACCAGAGTTTTGTTTTTTACTTTTATGATGAATCTTGTCAATTACTTTCTATGACAACAGAATGACTAGAAAGTGTTACGGGATACTGAATAATTTTGTACCACTTGGGAATCAATAGAAAATATTGCAGAAGGTGCAAAACACAGAAAGGATTAAAACAACAACAGCTTAAAAGATGTGAGAAGAAAAAAATCATACATACATAATCTTCTGCTTAAAAATGACTTGATTGTCAGCATCTCCTATGACCAATGTTACATAGTGAAAGTCTGGTGCAGTTCTCTTCGTTTGTAGCTGTTCAAAGTTCGTTAGTTTGATGGTTACTAAGATTTCAGCCAATGTATCACTGTATTTTGCAAGCTAGAAAAAAAGAGGTAACTGCTAAGTAGTACATATGCCCTTTCAAACATTTTTAACTGTTAATAGAAGCACAAAAGCTCAGTTTTCTCAATTTGTGGTGTCATTTTTATTAGTTTTTTTATATAATAATATAATGCCAGATACTGAGCATAGCTGACATATTAAAGTTTTGAGAATAAAACATGGTCTAACAGCAAGTCTGAAAAAAAATCCTCCGTTCAATGCAAGAATAAATGGGAAAAAAAGACAATAGGCTATTTTTGAGTATAAATAGCACATTTCTGCCATTTCAACATTTCTTTATGAAAATTTTATGATTATTAAATCTTTCTTCTGAGAATAACTGTAGAGTCACTCATCTGATACTACATCAAATGACATAGGACTCTTGTCTAAAAATATTACATTATAAAAGTATTTCATACATCTAATATTTTTAAAGTTTTTTTCTTTTTAAGTAACTTTAGAGATGTCTTTATTTTGCACCAACTTTGTGAAAGACTTGAAGGTTATTTTTCAAATTTGATATTTCAGAAAGCTGAGGCATAGCATCTGTATGATTTTTATCAAAGACAGAGCCCATATTGGAACCCCACAGCACGTAATTACACATGTGGTTGGAGCACTGAATTACATTTTTCCGTTGAAATGCTGCCAGCTAGTTTAATATAATTATCTACTGTTTCTATATATTCCTAAATGTGACATAAAAAACAAGCAACAGTTAATTTAGTAGGTTTACCCTGATGCTTTCCTGGCTCTAGAGCGTTTTTGTTTGTTTGTTTTAAGACATAAGAGAACTCTCAAATTCATATATGAAACATTCTTTAATAAAAAATACTATCTAGATTAAGGAACAAACAACAACAACAAAGAAATCTGATGTACTTCTAGGGAAGGACTATTTCAAAGCTCTCATTTGACATCCAAGAATTTCATTATATGTGCTAAGGTGAAAGACAGTCATGACATTACCTGTCTTCTGTCAGTGAAGGCTCTAGGTTTCTTAAAAAGCAGTATTTGCCCTTTCATTTAATAGTACTTAAATGTCATCAGAATAAAAACATAAACATAGAAGTATTTACCTGTTCAATGTCAAGTTCATATTTTGGAAGATGCAACACAGACTCTTTTATCTGGTTTCCAAAAGGAGGATGTCTGTTTAGAATCTGCAAAATTTAGTTTCATTTCTGATGCATTAAACTGATAACAGAGACACCAACAGACACATGAATCCAAGAAACCAAAGTCACCAGTAACACACAAACTGCAAAAGCCCTTATGATTGTTTTCTGCCACCAGCAATGTCCAAAATAGAAACTGAGTACCAAATCAAGCTAATTCCAATACTTCTTTTCTTCCTGCTAACTTTTCTGTTCAGGTAAGAGTAGCTAACCCACAAGCTTGAAGAACTACCTAGGTTATAAGTGAGATGAATCCTGTACATTGCCCAAGATGTAATAGAAAAAAAATTAACACAAAACCACAAAAGGGGGCAGAAAGGAGAAATTAAAACAAATCAAAAAGGTAAAACAGAAAAATATCAGTAAATCCACTTCACTTAGAAGTCCACAGTATCTTCTGGAACACCAGTAAAATTTTCCTCAGAAAACAAGCGCCAAAAAAGCTGTGCAGCAGGACAACTAAATTCCATTTTACCACCCAGAGGAAAATATCTACATTCCATAAAATAAGGACTGTTTCATAGATGATTCAGAACTTTCATCTATTGCTTTTAACTAAAACTAACAATAATGAAAATTAACAATTTTCCTACTCATGAACATCCACAGAAACTGTAAATATACATTCCCTTTAACGCTTTTCCTTAAACTCCCAAAAGGGAAGTGTTTATCATATTTTGGTTCAAAACATATTTATGATGAAATTCTACATGTTTAAGTAACTGCTTTCCAGAATAAGGTGAGTTACCTGAGCATATATAACTTGCTTAGGCAAAACAACCTGCAGATTTTGAATAAAAAAATTACATGCTGTATATTTAGTAGTAAAAATGAATAAATTGCTTAAAACACTGCACTTGTTTGCAGTTATATAATATATATATGATCATACTGCATTTACTAATAAAAGTATTACTCAATATTTTGCTTTTTTTCCCCCTGCAAAACAACAAATTACCAATTCCAGCTCTCTTGCATTTATGTCTTCTATTTTTTTAAACGAGGTCAGCCCAGCATTTACCATAGCATTTGACAGTGATACACCTGTTGAAAATTTTAAAATTGTAAAATTAAAATTTAAAATTGTAAAATTTAAAATTTAAAATTGCAATAAATATGAGTTTTGATCCTGTTTCAAATTGCACCTTTAGAACTTCTGACTGGTTTTGGTACCTACCAATTTTTTCCAACTGTTTAGACACATGCAGTGAATTTTCCCAAAGTTTGCATCTGAAACACTTGGCTAAAATGAGAGAGTTTAATAATGCAGAAAAGTTATTTTTACGTGAAGCCAGAAAATCAGCTAACCCTGTAAAAATAAGGTAGACTGTATTAATCAAGTGTAATTTGTTATTAAATGTACAAAAAAAAAAAAAGATTAAGTTTTACCATACATCTAGTAACTCTTATGCCACTTCTAAATATTTTGCCAGTATCTTGTGTCAAAGTAAAGTCTTGAATAGGAATGCATCCCAGTTGAGCCTGAATGAGACTGGAAAATAAGGATTTATTGTTTGATATGTAAGCAGTATGCTGCTTACATATTGCTTATAACTTCATATGTGACATATACAACTTCATAGAAATTTCTGAGAAAACAATGTTCAGAATAAAAACAATGAAAGGGTAAGATCTGATCCACTCTACAATGACACAGAAATTTTAGCAGGGATTACAACATCCACAAAATAGTTACTTTTTGTTAAAATTCATGCATACAATATAGTATTTACCAGTTTACTTTCATTTCTCTTGTTTTTATCTTCCCTTCCATTGGAAACCTATGCAAGAAAACATACATATTCTCAGCCACTCACTTCAATTACTGTTAAAAATATAACCTCTTTTTTCAATGTATTTAACTTTTATACCTGATAGTTATCTTGTTCTTATCTTTATTCAGAGAGTTCAATATTTTCTTTTCATTTGTTCGTAACTTGACATCTAGAAATTCTGTGCAGCTGGAGATCATTGTAACCTATAACAACATAACTTTTTTTTTCTTAATTTATTATTCTCTGTCATTTATTCCACTATTTCTTCCAACTTATCATTTCTTTCACCTTATTATCCAACTTATTAAACATGTTGTCAGAAAAAATTGTTGTTTCAATTCTTTAATCATGAAAAGATGGTCAATCTAGTCCTCCTTAATACTGACCAACTTTCTTCATCTTCCTATAGAGGTCAAAGCAAAGATTTTCCATGGAACTGTTAAATCATTACCCTATTTGAACTTACGCCAAAGCACCTGCACTGCTAACACTTTTTTGCTAACCGTTTTTGTTGTTTGCTATATATTTCACTTGGCTTTTACCATTCTTTAGCAATGAAGACAGAACAATATGAGAAAAGGCATTCCATTTGCTCATAGCCAATTATTCTTTCATAGTGTTTCCTGGAAACCCAAATACCTCTTGTGACAATATAGTTACATAAGTAACCTGTGATATAATGAACAGAAAAAAATGACTTAAAAAAATCACATTCATTCAAAAACAACATCTACTTCTCAGGCATCTTTTTTTTTTTTTTTTTACAATAAAACTGATTTAATAACACAATAGAATATCAGAATTTTATCTCCATAAGCAAGGATGGTTACAGCAAAAAGATGGAACTCAAAAGCTGAGTACAAAGCCTCAAAAATGCTGCATGTAAAATTCATTTAGGTATATCACATAGGTCTTGCACTTCATACAAACAAAACCTGAACTCTTTAAAAGAAATAAAATCTTCTGAACTTTTATCTTTGATTCTGTTTAAAATCAGATACACATAAATTCTCTTTAAAAAGTTCAGTTACCAGTTCATTTAAGGTCTCTGTTCCTTTAATTGTGAAAAACTGTTTCACTGTATCAAATGCAATGTAATACCATGCCATTAATCTTCCAGTCTCTGTAAAAGAGGAATAAATTAAAAAGAGCTAAATATTTATTCAGTGTATGTTTTAAGTCCAAAAAGTGATTTATTTTTCTCATTACAGAGCTCTGCAAGATTTAACACCATTGACTCAAGACATTATTGCCCCCAGCTGTCTGACAGACATCACTGACCCCATCATAAAGTGGCAGAAAGAAGTATGTGCCAGTTACAGTTTTCTCCAATAAAGATGAATTCACACTAATATATCACACTGTGAACTGTGGCTGCTGAGAAGCCACCACTTCCAGCAGCAGACTATAGAGAAGCTCTGCTATTGACAAAACCTCTCCTTCGCTCTGTTATAATTCTATTAGTGTGTGATAACGTTCTATACTTTTCTCCCAATTTGCAACTAAATTTCCAGCAACATCAGAAAGATCTAAACAATGATCAAGGTTAAGGGAATAACACTTCCATGATTTGTTAAATTAACTTTACCATAATATTCTAGGCATACTATTGTTCAGATTATGCCCTCTCCTATATCTGTGTATTATCATTAGTGGATCACAAGAACTATGGGCTTTGCAGTTCCCTTCTATCTCAACGTGACTTCTGAAAATTATTTTAAAAAAGTTACCTGTTGGTGTGAAATTATTTGCTTTATCCATCCTGATCAAGTCAAAAGATGATAAATCGTTTAAGTTCTTCAAACATAATTCTGTCCACAATTAAGAGAAAAACTTATTTTTAGTACATGCAACTCAGATACAACATCATCTAGCTGCAATGAACACAGAGCAATTCTACTGAACTCAAATAAAGGTCATAGAATACAAGTATTACAAAGTAAGAGAAACTATATGCAAGCAACATAGGCTGCCAACTTAAATTCTGAGAATTCACAGTATGTATACAAAATCTTCTAGTAAGGTCTAAACATTTAAATAGCTGAAATTTCAAATATCCATGAATCCATGTATCTATCCAGGTATCTGTGAATTCTTCATTGGGTATTTTCATACTGTAGCAACTGCATTTGTGTTTATTTCAGTAAACCTCTTTAGCTCTTGGTGTTGCTTATCTGCATAAAGATGATCAAAGTGTTTTGTTTGTTTTTATCTTTTCCAAACCAAAGAAATTAAAAGGCAAAAGCGACATTAATACAATGTTGAGAATTTAAACCCAAGTTGCCAAAGCACTCAAAGGGATAGTTCCCATAGCAACCAGAAATCATTCCCATCACAAGTGCAATGTCAAAAAGTGTAACAAACACTATATTTTACTACAAAAGTAAATATATTACTTTTATAAAATATATATATATTACTACAAAATATATCGTGTGCTGGGGAAACGAGCCTAAGTTTCTGTAGGAGCTTCAAAATGAGGTTGCTTATAAAATTGGAGCACTTCGGGGTATCTAAAAGCATTTGGAAGTGAAACTTTCCACGCCTTATCTCATACAATCTTATTTAGGTCAGAACATGCTTTAACTCCTTCCATTCCTTTCAACCTACCTTCCAAAAACAGAAACGTCCTAATTGAAAGGAGATATGAGAGATATGAGAAAAAAGGGAAAAAAAACAAAACAAAAAAAAACCATGTGAACTAACTTTCCTGACTTTTTAAATACATATTTATATATATATATATATATGCATGCCCCAAGAAAGTGGAATTCTCCTATCAACCATACATACATCGGTGCAGTGACTTATCTAGAAGAAATTTAAGAGCCGTTCAAATTCTTCACGTCACTGAATCCATCACTGAACAAGACCATCCACACCCTGGACTTCTCTAAGAGTCCTTTTTCATATTACCTACACGTTTGTGAGTGATGGATCAAAGTACTGATCACTTAAAAACTGTGTGTTCTCTATCTACATCTGATAGTTATTATTGTTGTCCAAAACACTATAATCACGCAATTTTGTACTGCTTCGGAATAAGCTAAAATTATTTAGGTTTCCCATCATTTTTTTAAGGTTAAACTTATGTGAGAGAAATGACCACTTCTGAAACAGGGCTTTTTGAAAGCATGCACACAGAAATTAGTGAAAGCAAATGTGATTTACCAAATAGGCTCCGAAGTCACTGACCTTGTAATTTTGCTTCAATTCCAGTTTTATCCAATCCAGATGAAAAACCTTCAAGAAGAGACAAGGTTTTTTTTTTTTTTTTTTAAATGTAATACAGTTACATACTTAATCCTCAACACCATGATCTATTAAAACTTATTTACTAATCTTAGGAGCCAGACAGATAACCACATGTGAAATATTTGTAAATATTCAGTATTCTGCGAACGAATGCAGAGCCTTACACAGCACAAATACATAAGCACACAGTGTTTATTACAACAAATGTGCAAAGATAAAAGCTACAGGTTCTCCCCTATATAACATATCAGTCCCACGAATTGTGGAAATGTTGGCAAAAAGACTTCTTGGTAAATATGCATTATTTTCAAAGTTAAACATTAAGAAAGTTGCAAAGTGTTATGTGTTTCTTTTTCTATTTTAGAATATTGGAGACTTCCTAAACAGTAAAACCTGTTCCAAATCCTAGATGTGGTTTGTCCCAGTCCCTGTCCTGTGCATAAAACTCTGAAAAAAACAGTCCCCATCGGGCTGGTAATGACTACACAGCTGTGTGCAAGGCACGGGGCCAGCAATAAAGATATAATCAATGGTAGGACCTGAAATGCTGATGTGAGTTCAAGACCCCAGTGTTAAGATTATTATTTTAGTTCAGCAAAAACACATGGCATTAAACAAAAGTTCTTTTTTCAGCAGCAGATTATATACTTAGTGCTAGAAATGACATGGCACTGTATCCATACATGGTACAGTGTATTAACATAGAAAGAAATGGGTAATTATGAAGCTGTAAATGCTTTCTGCACATTTTAAATGTTATATCATGTTGAAACACTCAATACTTGTTAATGCAACTGGAATTATTTTTCCTGAAAATGTTGCAGGTCACATTAGACACTACCTTCAAGACCTCATGAAACACCCCTTTATTAGAAGAGAAGAACAAAATGGATCTAACATGGCCAACTACTGCCTCATGTCATATTTTCGATCAATTCAAAAGCAACAAACCATAATGAGTTGGATTTTTTAAAGCTCGAATGTATAGAAATGTTGATCGTATCCATTCCAAAGCTACAGTGACATCTGTGATTGTATGCAGCACTATTTCTGCATTCAAATGCTCAACAAGATGCCTGTGCAAGCTAACAAAAAAAAACAAACAAACTTTAAGTACATTTATCAATTAGTAATAGAAAAAGTGCTAAAACTATTTTGGAAAGCAACAGCTTAATCAGTGAATCAATAAAAAGTGAATATTCAAATAATCAAATAATAATCCAAAAATCAAAATATGATTTATGACTTATGTACAGCAATTGATCATTATTCTTTCAGCTGTGCAGTTTCATGATTTAGAAAACAAAACTTTGTACATTCACCACTTAAGAGTATAGTGTTGAATATATATGAAAAATAAGCCATAAGCAGAGTACATGAGATAAATTGCCTGATTTATTCTTTAATATCTTTATTTTCCTATATATTTGACTCCTTTAACATTTTACATTAAGAGAATCCTGTAGCCCGGTATTTTCCCAACTTCAGTTCATCTCCGATGAACTGAGGCAGATATGAGGCAGCTCACCTCTTTATTGAATTCTAATATCTATACAGTGTGATGGGAATGCTCTAAATTCCAACTTTATTTCTCAAAACACTGTAAAGACTGATAGTGTACCGTTGTCTACCAGCATATACTAATGCTCCATCCACACATAACTAACATGGTACCTTTAATCTCTTTCATTTTATCTTCAATGACTGCTCACATATATTTTTTTCCCTCCCCACTTTCCACCACTAAACAGGCAAATTCCCCACTCAGCTCCCAAATTTTGCTTCCTTTAAGATATATTCTCTCTCCTCTCTCTCACCGCTGGAGCTGCTAATGTAAATCTTAAAGGTTTATTACTCCAAGCATATTATATGGAAAAGTAAGGATAGGAAAGTAGATTGAAAATTGCACAGTTTCAGCTACAAGCAGCCTTTTCCTCTTTCTGCCATATGCATGTCCTACAGATAAATTAGTTCCTATTTTTGTTCCTTTTCATGTATCAAGTAAATTCTGTCTTTAAAAATGTTTTAAGGAGACTGCCGTGACTCCATCTTACTGTAAATATGTACAGATATGAAAATGTGTGCATATGTAAATATATATGTAAATTTTCTGCTTTTCTTATTTAATAGTCTCTGACTTGCTGCTGATTTGATAAAACAGAAGCTGTTAGTTCTGAATAGCTTGGTTGTTCTGATTCTTAAAATTTCTCCAAAATAAACCAAAATAGCCCCAAAACTACACTGTATGGAAATTAGGAAATACTGCTTTCAATGTAGTGCACTTAGAAAAACTGTTTAGTTACCTGCTCTCTATTATATCTGCACCACTTAGCATCTGTACATACTTATCCCTTGTACTCAACCGTGTCATGATAACTGCTGTGGCTGTGGTGTCAAACTGGAAAGAAAGAAAAAAAGCTGCAAGAAGCTTCCGCTTGAACATGGCAACGCTTGGAATGACTGAAACTGTTTAAACTTACCTCACGCTACTGTTTAAACTAAACTCAAGAATCTGAGTAACAACTTAAAGAATCTTGCACAATTACATTCTCTAATAAGGACATCATTTAGCAAAGTTAGGAGTGTATGAGTTTCCATACTAGTTTGAATCCTCATCCTTTAATTAAATCCCATTTGGTACCAAACATAATCTGTCCCCCATATTAGACTTCAGCCTGATTTCTCAAAGTGAAAATAACCTCTCATGGAAGTGAAAAGATTTTTAGCTTGTAAAGGCAGTGGTTTTTAACTCCCTGCTTCTAATTTAATTAGATGTTTTCTTGTTTGATATCAGAACAAAAACACATTGCTCACTCTCAATTTTATTCAACATTCCATAAATTGTGTGGTGGAAGTTCATAATCTGCATACCACTTCCTACTTTTTCTCCAATTTCCATTCCCTAAGCTGCTCAAATATCATCTTTGATTATTTTTTTCCCACAGCAGGGTAACACAGTGCTTTTCGAATGACAATGCAAAAGCAAAGAGGTTTATTTCTTGAACACAGTATTACCCAATACTAATTTAACCGTAAATAACAAAATTGTAAAAAACACATGCTGCAGTATGGTGGTTGGTATTGCTATTTCTTGGTCATGATTCTATAGATCTGAGAGAATTAACTTACTTGAGGCCTCCCTGCTCTCCCAATCATCTGCAGAATATCCGTCTCGCTATACTCCTGAAACATTCCTCCAGCGTAGTGCATGGTGGACTTTATTACCACCAGGTGTGCAGGCAGATTGACTCCCATAGCTAAGGTACTCGTAGTAACTACATCAAATTAAAATATATCGATTTTAAATGAATTAAAATGTCTTCCTATTATCAACATTTTTAAATAACAGCAAATAAGTGATAAGTTTTCATTACTAAGAGCTCTTATTTTCCAATAAAATCAGTTGGAATTAAGGGCAATTCTCACTACAGAGAATTAGACATAGAATTTACTTAATTTCAGTGTATCTGATTAAAAGTGTATACACTTTAGGTAATTACTTCATAGTATATTCTTTAAGAACATTAAACACATTGTAGATATCTTTAAACATTTCTTAATTTTTGCAGGTAATCCAATTCATCTTCCTTATGCCACATTTATTCATACATTTTTATTCATCTTTATTCATACATCTTCATGGCCAGAAACCTGAATATAGCCATGGACTTATCTTACTTTGCAGTGATTGTATCTAACTTTTTTTTTTCCTCCTAAGTCATTAATTACAAGCATTGTTTATACAAGTACCAAATCAACACCAGCACCATTAGTACTATAATACTTTAATGAGACACCCTCAACAGGAAAACACCATCACAACTTGTTCACGTGCAAACTCTCTCTCACATTTTTAAACATAGGAGTACCAGGTACTGAAAATGGAAAGCAAATATACAGGGGAACTGATAAAACTGTTTCTTTATTCCAACTCATTTCTTGAAACAAAAAATGAAATGAACCAGTTACAAGTACATTAGAAAAGAAGAATCCAACCAAGTTGAAGTCAGAACTTCAACACTGTAAGTCAATACAATCTCAAGAGAACTACTCTTTTTCCTGTTGTGGTATGGGGCAAACTGCAAATACTTATCAAAGCAAGATGTCCCAACCATATAAAAAGTTGCTGGGAAAGGTTACTTACCAGTGCAATAGCATCTTGGAGATGCACAGTCCGTGCATGTACTCACACTGCAGTCTATACAGGCTATTTTTAAGACCGAAGAATTCTTTTTTTTTTTTTTTGGCAAAAGCTGTGTTCAGACTCTACCCCCTTCATGCTCATACACAGCTTAGTGCCCTTTCACTTTTCCCTTAGCTGCTGGAATATAACTCTAGTATTTCAGATGACTGAAACATTAACAGGAAGCACTTAAACAACTTGAGTACTGACAACAACTTGGCATTCTTTTAGTGGTAGTCCATATGTGCATTCACGTTATGTTCGGCTCTAGCACAGGCTATCAAAATCTTTTTGCAGAGAGCAACTGCAGAATCACTTAATTCCAGAGCTCCAAGGAGTGAAAGTACAATAAGTGGCCAGGGTGACAATTTTCCAATGGCACCATGAAACTCTGGCAAGATATGCCAAGATCATAGCAAGTGGATCTACCTTAAAAACTGAAAGCTAGTTAGGATAATCATTGTACAGAATTAAAAATTCAGCAATCTTCCAATCCCCTACATGAACTACACCTAAGCAGTTCTCCAAAGGGTCTGAACTTGTACAGGAAAAAGAGAAAGCCTGGATGAGATGAACCCACCGTGTCTCAAGCAGACTTTCTCATTCCAGGTAAGAATAGATGAAACAGATTAGGAGTCTCTGTTTGAACACTTTGCATGGGAGCTTGAAAATGAAATCCTGCCTGCAGATTACTTTCAAGGAAGCCACACCACAAAGGACACAAGCAAGGAAAACATCTTGTGAAAAGTAGACTCCAATGCAGTGGCACTAAAGGGTTATGAACACGACCAACCTTGCAAGAACATACAAGACAGTGACCTCTATTTATCCTGAAAAGAAAAAAAAGTGGACCTTAGTAACCAGGTACATACTGTCTCACAGTATAAAAACACACGTGAACCATAAAAACACCTTTACCATTCTGGATTTCACAAAGTAATTCCAAAGGCTAATCGTAAAGGATAGAATCAGAAACATTATCACATCCAAACATCCATCTTCTCAAGCCACATTAACAGCCTTTTGACTTTTAAAGGTAAATATACTTACAGAGTACTGGTAAATCTCCTACAGTAAAAGTTCCTTCAATTATTTTTCTGTCAGATAGTTCCATTCCCGCATGATGATAAGCCACACCATACATCAAAAGATCTGATAATAATTATATCCATTATTTTTCAAGTTTACTCAAACATTCATTCACAGAGCTGAAGAACTGTAGGCAATACTTACCTCTCAGTTTGGCATCTTTCAATGAATTTGCAGATCTCTGTAATCTATACAACATGAAGAAATAACAACAGTAAGTCTTTAAAATCCCCAGATTCACTAATGTAAGCAGAAAATGCAGAGGAGCTTACATGTTTCCAAAATGCAAAAATAAGGCTTCACATGAAACTAGATGCACAATTACCCCACTAAAGATTCTAAGGAGCATTCCTTGACATATATTTTTCCCATACAGTTCTACCACATTTGTGCTATTAAATATGCACTTAGTTTATAACTACATCCTAGAATATCGAAAGGACATCATAAAACACTTCTAAAATACAGTCCTCAAATAATTCCAACTGCCTCCCATCCTAACTTGCCAAAGAGAACAAACTGATTCTCTTAGGCAGCTGTTGCAGCCTTTCCAGCCCAGTCATCTATCCAAATACAATCCTGCTCTCTCAATCAGATGTGACAAAAGTAACCAAAAAACGAGTGGGAACTAGGACAGCACTGGAGATGTTTTGTTGGCATAAGGCAAAGGGAAATATGGTCAAAGCCCAAATAGAAAGTAGATAGTACAGACACAGCTGTGTTTACAAAGCTACCTGACATTAAAAAGTTTTTTCATGCGCTACACTAGCAGTGCACCAGTAAGACCAAATCTAATGGAAGTATTCACATGCTTAATCTTTGCAGGGCAGTTTTGTGAAGTCAATGGAAAATAGTAATTTTATTGTTTAGGAAGAAGGTTTTAAAAACAATTTCATTTTTATGAAAGGTACCATGAAAATAACAAATAAAACAGATAAAATTCCCCAAGAGTATCAATTAACCATAAAGAAGGCCAGTTGTGATGATGATTTTGCTGCTGACACTCCTCTGCTAGAAACTGTACTAGTGGGCTTAGTAGGAGAGGTAACACTTATTAACAACTTTTATATAAAATACCTTTGTTTTTGCTCTATACTCAGCAGAAACTTAGCATCTTTTGCAAGAACAGAAGCAGCCTGTTGAACTCCTTTTCTTGTTGCACAAAACTAAAAATAAGAAAATAACTTTTGTTTTTTTTTTGTTTTAAAGAAAAAAACATTTTAACTGTGATTAAAAAAACTGTACCACGAGTGATGGTTTTTGTTCAGCATATGTCTGTATAACACCAGCTATCTTGTAGTTGAGAGTTAAGTCAAACTTGAATTCTGTCTGACTGTCACTGCATGGAAAACCAAGAACAACTTTGCGCAGCTTCACAGGTCGATGATCTTCATCTATTTTTAGACATACAGCAGGCATCTTACCATCTGAAAGCCATTCTGCGATCTTGGAAAAAAAAAAGAGCAGAATTTAAATGATGAATTTCTCCTTTTAAGCATCTTTCACTCCAACTGTATTCACACAATTAACTTTTTGTCACACACAAATTGCTAATGTATTTGACATTGATTTTATCATTAAAATCATAGGTGAAGTTCTACTTTCCTACAGGACCAACTCAGACTGAAATCTCAATCTGCTGAGATTTATACTTAGAGACAGAAATCACACAGAGAGGCCTACTGAACCACATTCATACTTGGCTGAGAGCTCGAAAGGATTGTAGGCCATTTGTAATATTAATATCAGTCACACAGCTGACAGCTCCAAAATGATAACTTTATTAAGTACTAATCTGAATTCAGAATTCCATGTCCATCTTATAAAATATAATTATAATAACTGAAATTCAGTTCAAATTCAACTTACATCTTCAGCATTTGGAATTGTTGCAGAAACAGCTACAAATCTCAAGGAAGAAACAGTGTCATGATCGTCTGAAAGACGCAAAAGAGAAGACTGAACAGTCTTCATCCGACTGACTACAACTTCCAATGTTGCACCACGGTTTTCATCCTTTATAATGTGTACCTATTAAGAATTTTAAGATATTTGCAAAGTATTTCTTTTGTTATCATCTATGTATTTGTTAAAAATATAATCTTATGCACTAAGAGGTTTCTTTTAATCTTCAAGAAAAAAGTATTCCATAAAAATCCCTGATTTTCTTACCTCATCAATGAGGAACAGGCGTACAAGTTGGACTATGGAGTTGCCTCTCCATCTTCTAGTCATGCTATCCCATTTCTCCTACAGAGGAAAAAAAGACCAAAGGAGAAAGAAAGTTGGTCTTTATGAAGACCAACACATGTCAAAAGTCAGAGCACAGAAAGACATGCCTTCACATGACTAACTTCTTTAAATAAATCCAATGTAATGAATTCAATATAATGCCATTTATGACTTATCTGGCATGTGATTATATTGACGGTTGTTGGTTATATTAAGAGTACACATAAGAGTTTGTACATGAAGATCATAAAATTACTCTGAAATTCACTCATCACTACATAAAAGGGGCAGCTCCAGTAGCATGCGATTTCTAGTCTACTTATGTCTGTTTAATCTTGTTTTTTAAGAACCGGGATTGAAACCTACAGGTGTAGTTATAATAATGTGTGCGTGCTGTATTTCAAATAGATCATCCATCTCTGTATCTCCTGTCAGTTCCTTGCAGTTGAGTCCTATAGGTCCAAATTTTTCTTTCCAGTCATCAAAACGCTGACTGCATAAAGCTTTTATTGGAGCCACTAAAAATAACACAGCATTGTAAGAGTTATAGCAAGAAACGCAAATCTTCAATTAAATTTCTAAAAATACTAAACGTGTATATTTGAAGACATTTTCTATAATTTTTCTAGAAGTAATCACTGTGAAATATAATCACTGCCATACAGAGAAGCTACCACTACAAGCATCAGTTCTGACACTGGTGTTCATGAAGTAACTCTTAAAATCTTAAATAAGCTTGCCTCCTTTTTTGTGTGTTTTGCCTGAGGGGTACACAGTAATTTTCAGATATAGGCTGATTCTAGAAATCAGAAATAACTCTCTAGAAGCACTGACATTAGCAGCAGATATAAGTCTAACCCAGATGGGTATCTCTAAAGAACAGTGATTCAACTGCAAGAAGTGATTCATCTATGATCGGAAAATAACAATAAAATTGGTCTTGCAGTGATTACATTCTAGGTTAGTTAAAGATCACTAGAGAATCTACTGACATCAGCTGACAGGGGAGTCCCAAGACAAAAAGGCTTAGAAGAATTGGTTTCTGCTTCAATAGGAAGCATAAAACCTCGTGAGCCTATCAGTGACCTACACAAGTGCAGAAAACTGGCTAAGCTATAAGGAAGAAAATGTGAAATTGTCAAAATCACCTCTCTGGTGAGCAATGAGGGCAGAATGCAAGAAACCAAGACTCATTCTCTAAAACTCTTCCACCAAATTCCTAGTGTATATTAAAGCTACTAGAAAACAACTCTAATTCTCACGAGTACTTTAAGCTAATTCACATAGACTCTCCTGCTGACAAACCAGGTAGTGAGCACTGTTCTGCAGTACACAACCTGATTAATATCCTGTCCCAACGGCTGCATAATCAACACGTCCCCATATCAAAACTATCATTATCAGAATGTCGAGCCATTGTAACAAAGGAAAATACAAATAAGGCTGAAACCTTTTTAAGTGTAAGGATCAACCATTAATAGAAGACCAACAAATGTATCACTCTGTAGCTACTAATGGAAACAGGTACAAATCCACCCATCTCAGCTCATTTGCTTGATACAAACTCAATTCTCCAGAAAGGCCACAAGCATTGTAACAACTGTGATGATCTTCAAGTATTCCTATTTTTTAGAGATCAATAACCAAACATGAAGACCACAGCTCTGCTGCCTTTATGCTAGTATATGCCCCGGGGAACACGGGATAGTTTCCTTTGTTTCCCTCTCCCCCAGCCCCCATAGTGTTCATCTTGCCTTCTTAGAGGACGAGCACTCTTTATAAGAAGAATTCCCTATTTGTACAGGCAAGAGCAGCTACTACAATTATGTAATGCTGTTAAATACTAATAATAGCTACTATAGTAATGAAAATAAACAAAGGATGTTTCTTTTAGGGGTTGTTTAAGAATGAAGCCTCTATTTCTCAACCTAATTCACATCATTAAAGCACTACATTTCAGCACTTGGAATGACATGTTCTGCTGTTGCCACTAAATGTTTAAAGCTGCATAATACTCACTGTATACAATTTTAATATTTAACCAAGGCATTGGAGTTTCCATTAGTAATCTGGTAATAGCTAGCTCAAACATAACAGTTTTTCCAGAGCCAGTCGGAGCACAAATCACAAAATTTCTATCTGTATAAAGAAGCTAGGAAAGAATTAAGAGTAGTAAATAAAATGCATCTATCCATTATATCTAATCATATATTCCAAAAGAATTGTCTAGGGGGTAGAAAGATGGAAAGAAAATACTTATTACACAGACAGATGTAGTTTTCTAAAGTACATTGTATTAGATACAAACTTTACACACTTGCTAAAGAAATTGTTTGTATGTACGACGGAAATAAATGAAGACATACTGCTTAGCAGCCTCAGATTAAAAGTAAAATCTACAGTATTTAGGGCTTAGATTACATTAATGCAGAATAACTGACAGCATCCAACTACAACTAAATGTAGGCTCAGATCTGAGATAATCGTTTTGCGCCTAATGAAAAGTAAGAGTTTTCCTTCTGTAATCAAATCTGCATCCAAATCCCAAATTCACTGATGATATTAACATAAGGTTAAGTTTTAAACTAATCATGAAAGTCCATTTTGGACAAATAATTATTAAAGTCTGTTGTGTGACTCCTTTTCCCCTTCCTCCTACACTGCTCGCCCCTCCTCAGCTGCACTTGCCTGTTCTCCATTCATGCAACCTGCTCTCTGTGCACCTTCACTTGCTTCCTTCCCTCCCAACTCCCCATGGATTTTTCCTGTTTTTATATTTGTTTCTTTTTCTTCTAGAGTTAATGCTCTAAAACAGTCTGTTACTTACTACTAACAGTCTGTTACTTACTGTTAACAGTCTACCACTTCCAGCTTTCTAATGCTCACACAAATCAATGAAGTACAAATACAGAATATTTCCTGTTTTTTTTTTTTCCAAATTAATCATATGTCTTAATCACTGTGCACCAATCATAGAAATATTACCAAGCTGAATACTTGCAACTCTTTTAGGTTCAGGTATAGGTAATAGGTTCAGATAATATTTATTAACAGCAGCAGCAATCAACAAAGGTTATTTGCTGGCAGCAAGATGTGTACCTCAAATACAAAATTAACCATCTTTCCATAAACGATGGTTTCATCTTTTTTAAAAAAAGTTCTCTCTAGGAAAATCATTAAAAAATACTACCAATCTGTATGTATAAGTATGCTTATAATTAACATTTAAATATATTTATGTGATAATTGACAAAAATTTTTTTTTTTTTTAAAAAAGTTGCTCTGGTCTCTTCTCCCCCATGAACACAACCCTTCACGTTTGCACAACTATTCTGAGAAATATCGCAGCTTTCTAATGACTTTTAAGCTCTGAATACTAAAGTGCTGCTTTGCAGATGTAGCAAAGAGTCTGTACTTACATCATCCAGTGCTTTAGACTGCACATAATTAAAATAGGGAAACTCCTTAAAAATACTTCTAAATTGGGTCGCTTGAGAGTATGTTAAGGATCTGAAAACAACTTACTAAAAATTCTAAAATCTCTTTTAAAACTATAAATTGCACATTTTTCACTTTCATTACATTTATTCACTTTACAAAGAATGTACTTTCTATAATTTAAAAATAATTTATATCTTTACATGTTTTAAACATGCTGTGATTTAACTGATACAAATCTACCAGAACAATTAACAAAAAGTAACTTATTAAATGATTTAGTATTGTTGTCTAAAATCTTGGCATGACATATTCAAAAAAAAAAAAACCCACTACCTCAAAAAGCCTTAAGAGACATCTCAAAATACACCAAGAACTGACACAGAGAGCGGCTCCTCTTGTAACAGACTAAATGAAACAGAATATGGTCACAGAATATGAAACTGTAACAGACAGACATTTTTTCTAGATCGCAAAATAGTTAATAAGAGTAAGCACAGCACTACTTTTAACATAGCTAAGTGTTCCACAGCCACACCACATTCATAATATAAAACAAATAAATTAACATTTCATTGTATGTCAAGAGAGGCAGAGAGAAGGTCAAGAGTTTATGGAAGTCCATGCACAGTCTTTTAATCCTAATAGTGGTTTAAAAATACTTTCAGTTGCTTTCCAAACAAAAATATTCCTATCTGAAAATGAACAGAAGGAACGGAGTATTTTTTCATTATGGATCCAAATAAGTGAGCTTGACCCTTGCCTGGACTTTAATTGGAATCAAACAACTAATCACAACCATCTGATCAGGCTGGGGATACAAACGGTCAGACATGACAGCAACAGTAACAAAAAAGATGAACTGTGAGGCCTGACATGGATTTTATGTTCATTTGAAATGAGTCAATAAAAAGGAAAAGGAATAAAACAAGGAGCTAAAGTAGCTAAATAAAAACATAAAAATGAGCAAAGAGCACAAGCAATATTAAAGGTTTGTAAAAATAATCTCTAAATAAATGATCTATTTTCCAAAGTGCAGAATACTGAGTATATGCAATTGGCAACATCAGAAAAGAGTTTATTTGCTTTGGAAATCAGATCACCTATTCTTATAAATTTAGTTGCCTAAATATAGCCATTTATCCTACTGCTTGACAGGTTACTAGAAACAAAGTATTAATGAGGGTAAAAGAGCATGTACCAAAAAAAAAGTTTGGCAGATTCAGCTGGGTGGCTAATCACATTATGGTTCAATGAAGGGACAAGAACAAGGAAAACTATTGTAAAATTTGCCTACAGTAAGTTAAAGAACAGAAATATTCTGTATATGGAATACTAAAACATAACTGCGATCTTCAAGCATATGTGACATTTCCTTCAGAATATGGGACAAAAAATAAGATTCAGTTTTCCTAACAAAACTATTTCATCTTGCCATCATATAAAGTATATGGGGATATATGTATTCATGTCTCTGTGTGAAGAGTTTGGAATAAAACAGATATCAAGTTAGCTAAAAAATCAATGTTATATTTAAAAATTATTAATTTGGGTGGTAAAATATTTTTCTAGCTCTGGAGGCTCCAGGCGTAAACACCTGTTTATCATTCATTTCCCAGCATTACATTACAAATTAAAACTATTACAGCGAAAAAAGCATGAGCTCCTGTAGCTCCATATTAAATGATAGTTTTGTAAATGGGCTATAATTAAATCAGATATAGCAAATAAAAGGATACGGATTTCTGTAACAGCCCTCCAAATTTCCAAATTTCTTTCCGCAGTTCCTAGAGAGAAAAAAAATCTTTTGAATTTCATGAAGTTCCTGTGAGCCCCTTCCTCCAGCGTGACTATTCCTCCCTGAAGGACAGCTCTTAGGTGTATTGACTGGTCCCTTTGCCTTACAATTTTGTTTTAATGCTATTTTTGTAATCTGTATTTCTGCCGCACTTGTCCCGATACAACAGGCACGCTCCATAGGGCAACAAAGCCCTAAAATCTAGAAAAATGTATATATAAATACTATTAAAAACAAAAATAATTTCTAAAACAAGTGCTTTATTACTTCTACTAAATTCTCACTGCTTTTTCCACTTCCCAGTTTTTTCCTATCTAAAACCTAGTTCTAAAAAGTTGAATGTCAGCCACACATCCAATTTTCAATTTCAACTGAAGATGAGAATATTTACCACATCAAGGGACCACGTTTTACTTTTCAAATACTCAAGGACACAGATTTGGAGTGACCTTTTCAAAAACGCCCACACAACAAGAAGTGCAACATCTACTGACTCCTAAAGCACTTTAAAAATAAGACTTTGTCTTCATAAATTCTTTACCCAATACTCAGCATATATTAAACACAAAGCAAGTTCTTTCTAACTGTAATACCATCAATTTAAAGTAGCCAATTATCTGAAACTGTCTTTTACATCAGGTCATGAATATCCATTGTTATTACACACCAAAGTAAAACAGTGGGCAATATAAATTGAGTAACAATAGTTACCTTTCATATTCAGGATCTTTGAAGCATCAGAAAATGATTTTATATTAATTCTACTTTTAGGACCAAAGTCCCCATCATTTATCTTACACAGGGTAAAATCTGAGTCTTTTGTTACTGGAATATGATGATTCTTTCTCAGTATGTCATCTTCTTTCATCTCTCTCATGTTTACATTGGTTTTCAAATAAGTGTCAATTTCTTTTGTATCAATGGAACTATCTTTAAAATCAGGTATTTTAAATAATCTGGAAAAGATACAGGATCAAGTATTATTCAGTTTCTCTAGTATTTAAGAGATATGTATGCTTACATCAGAAACAAAACTACTAGGATTAGTCACATAAGTTTGGATCTGATTTTATTTGCTTTGGCTGACATTCTCCTACCTGAACAAAACTCCCTTCAAATTAGGTTCTAGTTTTACTTTCATTCCAAGGCTGAAAAAATAACCAGCCTGTACAGATGGGCTCTCAATCTCTAGAGCAAATCAACTGTCAGTCTCTGTGTAACCAAGTACAGATGCACCCAGCTTCTGAGGACTGCCAAGAGCAGGACACACAAGCTGAGCTTATCTGCACAACTCCTCCTCCCAGGCAGCACTGAAATGACTGGGGCTACCTTTTCACCCCGGGAAGGAAGCGATCTTTTCTTGCTCTTTATGAAGTGTATGGAGAATTGAAAACAGGATTTCAAAGAACCCTTGTTATCTGATAGTTTTTCTAAAATGAATCATACCAACCTTTTCCTCACCTTTCTTGTAAAACAGGCTGATTTCTGGACACATATAATTACAGTACTAAAAGACTGTCAGAAAAAAATTCTTTTTCTCCTTACTGTCAAAAAAATAAAAGAGTGCCTGAACCTGTATTAAAGTACCTATGTGAAGAATCAAAAACTCTGCATTTGACAAGTACACGCAGCACAACAATATGAATCTGACAGTAGATACATCAGAGTTGACTAGAAGCATACCTTTTTCTTAATGACGAATGGATACTCTCATCATCACTGTTGTCTGGAAAATTAATTAATACTTTATTTTGTGAAATATTTGCACTAGGTGGCTGATAAGCCCCCATTTCCTTTTTATGGTTATCTTGGTCAGAAGAGAGAAATGATGAAACCATTTTCAGATTTTCACACTGAAAAATAGTTTTATTCCTTCCTCCTAAACTTAACTGGAACACTTCTCTTTTAGAAGCTATATCACAATGAACAGGTTCTTGTGATTTCTCATTTACTTCCTCAGTATTTCTCTTGCACTGTTGCATAGACTTCTGATGCTGTATATCTCCTACAAAAGAAAAAAAATTCCTATTAATAACCCACATTCCTAATCAGAATAATTTTATTAATTCCCACATAAAAGAAACCAAGTTCACCAGTGTTACATGAACTGATACTCTTACTATATTGCAAAAACTTTGCTGTACATTTTGTGACTTAAGCTGATGCATCTGTTGAATCATGCTATTAAAACTCAGAAAAAAAGGGATCAGTTTCAATGCTTGCTATACAAAAAGCAAAGCAAGCATGCTCCTTAAAACTAAAAAGTACATGAAAATTGCTGACTCCTAGACATATCCTTCACTCCAAGCCTAAAGACTTGCAAAATGGAAATGCTTCTCCCTTCCCTCAGAAAAAATAGACGTTCAAAGAAAAAAAAAAAAAAAAGAAACAATGAACGGACTTGGAAGTGCTACCAAGCACAGCCATGTAACAAACCCTGCAATTTTAACTTTTTTTTTTTTTCCCCCCTCTACTGAAGTCACTGATGGTCTGGTTTCCCGATCAACTTAGCTAATTACAGCATTTGCAGGGTTTTTCTCAGCAGGATCAGCGTACCAATGTGGCTGACCAAATTAAGCATCACTGTCAGCAACAGGTAACAGGAGTAACAAGCAGTTGGATGCAATAAGATGACAAAACATCTCCAGTCACCAGCCTTCTCTTAGATTTGCTCAGCATTTAAACATATCCTAAAAACTTAAAGAGTATGCATGAAATTCATGAATAAAATTAGAACAGTTTGTCACCATCCTCTGCTAATTCCAGTGGTATGTATTCGAAAATGGCTATTTTGTAACATATCCTCAACAGTTGTACAAACATAAGAAAGCTCATCTGAATGAACCGTCCATAGAGGTATTGCTCTTGAACATGAGAAAAAACAAAACAAACAAAAATTTAACGCCGAAATTCCTAAATAAAGAATATCACAAATCAGTACAGCATCTAAGAAATGCAGAAATCTACTTCCTAGTGATTAAGCAAAGTAATTCCTTTAAAGTATTTTTCTCAAAGTGGTATCTTAACATCAGTCACTGGCCAGACTTCAAATTTTGCCTCCTGAAGATCAGTTTGAAAAAAGCCCGAAGCAGCAAGATGGTTAGTTTCATATAAGCTCCTGTTTCTTGGTTGCAGCATGGGTCATCAGGCCCATGGGCTGTACCACTCTCTTAAAACAGCTCCACACAGCTTCAAAACACAATGCAGAGTAATGGCAAATTTAATTATGTTTCTCAAACCTGGCCTGCTTCTCCATAATTGACTTGTAGCCTGTACATACTCAAATAAAGAGGCCTTGCTAATATTTAAAATCTTTTCTATAACCAGAACATAAGTAAAACCATCATTCTGAATTTGACTTTAAATTTGAAGTTAATGTTAAATATTTAACCCATATGACCGTAGACTGTGCTTTTCTCCAGTTCCTTCTGTAACTCTTCTGCAGAGGGAATTTCAGTCAAAGCTGGAGCAGGTGCAATAAACCACATCCTTGGCTCTTCATTTTCTTGATAGCTATGTTTAACACAGACAGAATGTAAAAGCATTCTTGAAGCATCCTGCACAACAAGTAGTTCAAAATTGCCATTAAAAAAAAAAAAACACACTCTTCAGACTTTCCTTCACAAAAAGGGAAACAAAAAAAGAAACAAAAAACCCCCCCCACTTATTAGCAAACATCTAGTATAAAAGGCAAAACATCTGCCAGCCCATACTTCTTATGTATTCCAAAAACAACACAGCTGTAAGATATATTATTGAACCCTCAACAACATACTTGGAAAAGCATTACAGTGTAAGTTCTGAACCCAAAAGCTTCTACTCAAGTTTCTGCTAGTAGAGGGAGAAGGAAGTGACAAAACAAATTCCTCCTGTAAAAGGAGTCAGAATGTTAAGAAACTTTGAGAACAATGTAACAGTATTTACCCTTCTTTTGTATCTGGTCTTTCAAAAAATAAATTATCCAATGAAAAGGTCAGGTCTTCAGAGCTGAACATTTTTGATCAAATGTGAATCTTGAGAATCTTCAAAAGCCGCAACAAAGAACTCTGCAACTTCAATTTTCAGAATTAAACCTGTTTAAGGAGCACAGAGATTTTATTATTGACAATAGGGTAAAGTAGGGCTCTCAGAGAGATATCAGTAGTGGCAGTAGAAAACACCTCTCAAGAGCATTAACAAGCTTTAAGTATTAAAGCAGTGATTAACTTAGCACTAAGTGCTTGTCCCACTGATCCAAAAACCACCATCCTATCAGCTCTAATAAGCTGCACACCACTGTGAAATGGTTTCCAGCTTCAAGCTTCAAACTACTATAATGCAACTTGTTTAATTTGGTTTTAGGAATCCCACCCTTGGACAGTCTTTACTATCCACTCTTATCTCTCTTGCCCCACAGGCTGCCACTTTGTCTTTTATTCTTTGAGTAGCCCCATCAAATCCAAGTGTAGACTTTGGAGTTAAATGTAAATGAAACTCAATGGAAACAGACATCAGACACTCACAGTAGAAAGTCATTTTTATCTCTAGGTTGTTTTGTAGTTCCCATTTTTAACTTAGGGTTTAGACTAATGTATATTGGTTCACACCTACACGTAGCTAACTGAATACCAAAATAAACCAGGACCTCCCAAACTATTTAAGAAGGGTGTACTACAGACAACAGTCACCACGGGGCACACTGTCGGCTCTACTTTGGGGGTCCATTACTTGTTATTTCCGCTAAATCCCACTTTTTCCCTCAGACCTCTGCATTCCTCCCCAGTGCCTCGCGCACAGGGCCAAAAAGCTACGCGGCGCGGGTGCCGCCAGCAGCAGAGCGGGCAGGGCGGGCCGGCCCCCTGCCTCGCAGGGCGCCTTCGGCTGCCGGCCCGGACGGCGCCTCCGCTCCGCCGGGTCCCGGCCGAGGCCCCCGCCCGCGGCAGGAGACCCGAGGCGGAGGCGCTGCCCTCGCGGCGCCGCCTCAGCGCGAAATGGCGGCGGGCGCCAACCGCCGAGCGCGGTATCACCTCGGGAGCGCCGAGCCATCGATGCCGCCGCACTGCGGCGCGCCGAGCGATCGTCCTTCCCGCGCGCGGGGCCAGGCAAAAGCCGCCCCGGCGTCCAGAAATGGCGGGAGCGGCGGGGCCCAGGGGGCGGGGCCCAGGGGGCGGGCTCTGCTCCCAACGGCAAAGGCGGCACGTGGCGCCGCGTGCGGGGCGGGCCGAGCGCGGCCTCAGCCGCAGTTACGGCGGGAGCGTGGAGTAGGCCCTCGCTCCTTGCTACCCGGGTACAAATCAGGTGATTTCAGTACCCCAGGACCGTGCTAGCAAACACATTCCTACGTGCTACCAGAAGAAATAAATACCCTGAATATAGTGCTGTCTATTATCCAGTGAATTTCTCAAAATCCCTCATAAAATTTTCTTAGAGCAGCTCCTGCTGAGCCGGAGCAACAAATCCACCACACACAATTTATCTGAACTGAAATGCTATCACATAAAGTATTGGTAAAATGCTGAAGGAGGTTGCTTTTTCTTTTCCCTCACAGAAATACTGCAGTTTATAATTCTGGACTTGCCATTGCAGCAAAGCTTTTGAACTAGTAAATTTAAAATAAATTGCAGAACTGTCTCAGAAAGACTAATTTTTAAGCTGGTTCAAAGCTGTATGCCATTCAAAAATACTATGGAGGCAGCTACTGTAAATATGTTATTTCCTCATACATAAATAGATGAAAAGAGACATAAGATTTTCTCAAATATTGATTTTTAACATAAATAATTTTTATTTAATAAAAAAATCCTTTCTCGCAATACTGATTAATTTTTAACTTTTCATTTCAAAATCTGAGACATTGTATGTTTATATAATGTCTCATATCTCCTATCAATCTAATACGGTGCAGGCCCAGGTCAGCTAGAAGAATCCAGTAAAGGCTACTGTGACTTCCACAGTTTTGTGTACACGAGTTTTCCTTTTTTACCTCTTAGCCTAGAAACACTTGCCCCAGAACTGTGTCATATTACAGTGTGCCAAAATCTCCAGCACATCCAGAAGCCCTAATCCACCTCCTCATGTAAGCACTGGGCAGAGAGCCAAGGACAAGAAGCAATTCATTCCTGCTTCCAACACCATGGGATTTTGGCCAGTTTAGAACAACAGAAGAGGTTACCACAAACAGCCTGGGATACAATCGGTACTGAAACTAATAAAGGGATTGTCTGCAATTAAATTCTTAAGCCACCCATATTACTCTCAACAAATACGGGGAAAAAGTTGAGGACAACTGATTTTATGCTTATAATAAATTCTGGTGGCAGAAAGCATTTTTGCTTCTATTAGAGAATGCCTTCTTCAATTCTGGCCTCAGGCAAGTTTCCATCTTCATTCGCAACATCTGCTTTTAGCTGACCAGACTTTAAAGTTTAAAGCAGTAATACAAACAGTTCATTTTTTAAAGCTTTTTTTTCTTCGAATTCCCTCCCTAGGTGACATCTCCCTCAACACACACACACACAAATCACATAAAATATATAGCAAAGCAGTCTCTCAACAGCTCTGAGACAGTTTAATTTTTGATTTCCCCCAAGCGTAACATCTGATCTGCCATATGCTTTGTGTCTTTCAAGCTCACGGAGATCCCATACTAACTGATAAACCTGCATGTTCTGGAGCAGCGCAAGTAGAAAATCAGGAACACCAGACATTGGTCAGTGATCCATATGAGAGCAAAATAACATTCAAACTTACTAAATACAAATCTGTTAAAAGCTTCACTTTTTTTTTTTTTTTTTCTCCTGGAAGTTACAAAATGAATAAATCACTGCAAACAAATTAAATGCAAAAAAGTATCAAGATATAAGATGACATTTGTCACTGTGTTCCCTCAGTTTCCTTTGCGCAGCCTTTTCCACAACTTTACAGACATGACAAGAAGAATACTGGTCTCTGAAAAGTACACAGAAATTACTATGTAGTATTAGGAAGCCTTAAAATCACAGGCGAATCTTAAACTGCTTATCTTCACCATATGCTTGAGATTATGGCAATGACTCATTTAAATAAAATTTTAATAGATTCAAGTTCAAAAATATTTACAGCCATAACTTTTTTTTTTCCAGTCAAGATTGGGAAATAAAAATATAGCCTAAACTAGACTGATTAGGTTATAAATTTTGATGTAGTGGGGGAAGAAAAGCACAGGCAAATTTCATTTTATCACGTTGACTAGGGATCACAAATTTGGACCTGGCAATGCACCACCCTTGCAGAAAAGTTAAACACATGAGTAAGTTTACTGATGGAAGCTGGAATTACTCATGTGCATAAATGTTTGCAAGGCTGGGTCTTAAGAGAGCTAAAGAGAGCTCCCCGCGGAGGCGGGCAGCGCGGCCCTGCCTGTCAGCCAGGAGTGAAACAAGGCCCTGTTCCCCAGGGCCCCGGCCAGCAGCTGCTGCTGCTGTGCCCCAAGCCACCTTCCCAGGAAGGACGGCTCTTGAGCTCTGGTTTTTATGTAAATAAATTAAAATACACTTAATATGATTTCTTTCATTATTAGGGTGGAGAAATTGTCGTTTTCTTTACTTCTTTGCCTTCATTTCCTTTCTCTGTTTCTCATCCATACATTTTTTAAGACATGAACTCCTCCTGCTAAATCCTTCAAACATAAGCTAACCACCAGGGACCACTTTCATTATGTATAATATTATCACCCTACTTCAAACTAGCAAAACAAGATTGTTCCACCTTTACAATTCCACCTATATCAAATTCAGCATGTATAAACACATTATTTTATGTCACTTGGTATTTAGTGACATTAGGATTTTTGCACATAGACAAAAGAGGTAATACTGAAAATTCATACAGCTATTTCTTTGTTTATTTCAATCAAAGGCTCAGTTGATAAAATGAGACCTATGTTGAAGGTAATCCAATGAGGTTGTCACTGTGGTGACATGTCTCCTAAGAGGCAAGTCACTGCTGCTTCCCTTAAACACAAGTTATCTCATTGATAGTGTACATGGAGTCAGAGTTTGTATAAATGACAAATGAAGTTGATAGTTGTATCTGTAGCAACTGTTACGGAAAATACAACAGTTCTTGATCCATCAATGAACTCTTTTTTTTTCCTTTTTTTTTTTTTTTCAGAAGAAAGGGAGGAAAAGGTCTTTTTTTAAACTTGAGCTATTTTATTGAGTTCAGACCTCAGTAGCACAAGGTACAACAAAACTCTATTCTGTTTTATTACTTCTTTGCTCTACATTACTGTGAATCAATGATATATACTAATACGTAATGGATAACATCTGGATTCCAAATCCAGATGGCTCTTTTGCTTTGACTATATTTCCTGTCAGCATAATTTCTTGTTTTGGATTCAAAACTGCAATAATATCATTGAAAAGAATGATTCAGAAAACCCTGAAATGTTATATATGTATAAATTTTTTTTTTTAGCTTAGTGTATTATAAAATCTTTAGACTTTTTCTCCAATAATTTTCTCGTTTGTAAAAAAGTCAAACATTTCTAATAAATAATTTGTTTTGAAGGTTCCCATTTCTACTGTGAGTTTTATGCAGGCACAGGACACTAAATTACTATGTTTTGGTGCTGCATTGTGAACCTATTTGTGAAGTTATCAAAGTAATTCTCTAGAGAAAATTGCCCTCCCTTTTTTGTCCAACTTTACACATTGTAAGCACTGTTCATGAATTTAATAGAGTATCAGCATTTTAAAAAATTTTGATTATCTTTATAGCTGACCCTAAATCAGTAGATAGATACCAATTTTTAATTAAGTCCAAAGTACTCATCTTCCAAATTCTTGTTTCTATAAATATTCCTTAATAATATTTGCAGTCCAATTGACTGGAGTGTTGGAATACAGATTCTTAGTGAAAGCCTGCCATGCTGCTGCCACTCATTATACCATCAAAAAAAAGCCACTATGAAAAGAAAAAAAATCCTCAAAATAGGACAGGAAATATAAGGACAGATTTTTTTTTTCAGGAAAAAAAAAGGTTTCTGATCTTGGAAAAAAAATGCTGCTATAGAAATCTTGGAAATACTAACAGAAATCTGAGATATTTG